AGAGAGGCCAGCTCTGAGCTCCAGAGGAGGCTGCTTTGTTGTCCACACTGTTGCTTTATATGGGAGAAAACGGGTCTTTATTTCTTTTTTGAGGAAAAACAAGTGCTGTGGAACTAAGCTTTATTGTGGAAGCCCTCAGCGAACAAGCCTCTCCATGTTGTACATGTTTGAGTAACCTTATACCACAATACCCAGATCATGTTTTGGCTTTACTGACTATCATCCATCTCACTACAGACGTGTTACTGAGAGTGACAGTATTCAATGACTGAGCGCCACAACCGAAATTCCATTCCCCACCATCGGCAAATAAAGGCTGGATACCATGAGGGAACATGGGGTGGAAAGGTTTGTCAGTCAAGGGTGATATAGTGGCCGTGCACCATCGTCATTAAATAGTAGAATATCTGCACAATGGGCTTAGCTGGCTGCCTTTCTCTCTCGGCAGTAAAAACAATGCAGGAGCCACAAGCGGAGCTTTTCTGCAGCTCGAGTTGGCCATCTGAGGGTGCTACTAAAGGAAGTCAAGGAGGGGAGGGGTCTTCAAGTGTCTCCTTGATGTGGAGTGCTGCTAAATTAAGCTCGGAGCTCTCCGCCCGATGGCCCAGGAGATAATAAATCTACTCTTTCATACACACACAGTAGCTTTACCCCTTCACTATACCATGAAGAAGACTGTCTTTTTAAAGTGTTTACTTGTCTAAGTAACTTTTTCTAGATGTTATTCACACATTAGATACCGTTTTTGGGTGATTGGCTTAAAAGCACCACATCGGCTCTTATTATTTATGTTAACTATACTGTGTTTTTATTGATTTAAATCTGAGATTATAAGTCGCAGTGGCACCTGCAAAATCGCACCAGAAATCTCTGCTTTTTGTTGCCAGAAAAGGTCATGAGAATCGCTCCACTAACAGCTAGAAGTCATGTTTAGAAACAAAGATGGCACCTCGAGATGCTCCTTTCAACAGTGGCTTTTTTGATGTTTCCTCACAGTGGTTTGCTGTTTGCGCTGCCTTCAGGGGCCATTCGAGCAACCCCCGTGTGCTTTAAAATGAAGCCTTTTCTCTATTTATTTATGTTTCTTACAAAAGCCTGACGAGGCCTGAACCCATGTTCTCTTTTTTGGGCTTTGTTGTCGAGGCAACAGACTGGCCTCCTTTCTGAGGTGCACGTCATGGGTGCATTTATTTATTTTTTTTTTATTTGGCTTAGCCCATCTTCTTTGTGGTGCTAGCAGGGAGTCGGGCTTGAGTTCTGTACATATTATTTCAGGATTAGACCGGTGCATATGATGGACACTGTATTGTTTCTGTCCTAATCTTCTCCATTTTTATCCCCACTGGCTTCAAACAGGTTTATTAAGTTAATCTCTTGGTGGTTTCTGTATTCGTCCCCGGTTAACTGACGTATGTGAAGCCTTATTTATCGTTTTGTCTCGGGAACTTGTTACCCGAGTGCAGCTCTACTCGTTTAAAACATTTTGTTTCAAAACAAGTCGACATCAGAAACACTGTCGACGAGTTATTTGCATTTATGACTACTGTTGAAATGCAAAGGTGAGGCCTGATTGCATGTTGATGTACAGTATGTATGAACAGTATGTTTCCCGGCTGTAAGGCCAGTATGTGTGTGTCATGTTTCCTTGATGTGCTTTACATAAACGCTATCTGGCTGGTGACAGGTTTCTCTTTCTTTCATAAAGTGCCACCGGATGCCTTTTGTCTTTTGACTGTCCGGTGACATCTGGCTGATCTTACACCAGCTCATAAACTAAGAAGACATATTCCGCGATTGAGAGTCCATGTTTTTGAGAAGAACATGGTAGGAGCAGTTCTGTATCGTGAAATACGACGCTAAGCAGTCTGTCACACTCTCACGGATCAAAAAGGCTCTGTGGAAGCTTTGCAGAAGATCCTGCTACACTGTGCGTTCCTACAAAATCAACTTTAGATGTGGTGTTGTGTTTCTGCTTTACAGCGCTGGATTAAAGTGAATTTTAATGATGGCATCTTTATTTCACAATGTGCATTAAACTCTGTTAATCAATCCAAAGGACCTTCATGTGTCCATTGATTAGGTTAGTTGTGGATTTATTTTTATTTTTTTTGTAAACTTCCCAGAAGCCCCAGCTTCCATTAGGGAGGTCCTTTTATCAGAAAGGGCTTCAAGGACTCATCCTGTCCTCCTGGCTGGCAAACTGACAGCACACATCAAGAGATCTCTAACACTCTGCAGCCTCGTGGTGGTTAGCAAGTCACTACTTTTGTCTCTTTGTCAATGCAGCTACTGTGGCGTTCTCAGGTCTACTATATGTGTAACTTTGTGACTCTAAGCATGAATTAAATTCATCCATGCACATGTGAAGCAGGCATTGGTGTCGCTTCACAATTTGTGTTGAGTCTTCAAGAATAAGACTCGACACAAATTGTTTTCGGAATTATGAAGTGATGACGTGGACGTAAACTGCAACTTGACGGTAACTCTAGTTCACACCGCGCAGTGCCGTCTGTCTTATTGCCGTCATGCTTTACGCGCTTCTCCCGCTCTCACGCACACCGGCCAAACGGGTTTAAATGGCAACATGTCTGCTTGAGCAGTGAGTCACAACATGTCTGAATGTTTCTCTGCGAGCGCAGCTCCTACATGCTGATCGTGATGGTGTGAGACGCGGGATTAAGTCCACGATGTTTCTTAATTAGTAGTCAGATCCCCCTCCGCTACTCTGCCTGCTGCCCGATATCTAGCATTTTGTCTGTGTAGATGTATATGAACCACGGAGGCGAGTGTGGGGTTGTAAAAGCCTCTGCTGCCCCCTTACATCACCTGTCAGCCACACACAATCACAGCCATTACGGGATTACCTTTGTTGGGCTCCTGATAGCTGCTGGGAGGAGCCAGGCTGGTGACGCACTGCAGACGGAGGTCACAGCCAACGCTGCTGCGTTCGCCTTAAGGGGCTTGTTTCCATTCCTGGAGAAGGAGAAGACTTTGAAGAGATAATAAGTGTGTGGGGAATGACTGAGGGGGGGGATTTAGATGAGGACACGGAGGACGGGTTTCAGATGAGAGGCAGAAAGCTGCAGCAATCCATGTTTTTAAGGAAAAGTCGGTTTAAATGTAAAAGGTGCCTGATACACTAATTCAAGGCTGATTGATTAAACACTATATGTTGCCCTGCATCACCTGATGCATACTTGTATCGTTATTTCACATCTCAAAAGGAAGTGGAATGACATGTAATGAATATCTGGAAGGTAGACTTGAAATGAATGTGACCGTGAAAAATACCCATCATATCGACTTAAACCGATACGATGTAGTGGCCGACCCTGTTTAGAAGTCTCGGCTGTCCCGGTACTTTATTTGAACCACAGGTCTGCCTTTGCTGACATTCCCAAAGTGTGGACTTGGATGGGGGACCACAAGCTGCCATGTGTTGGCACAGGGCAGCCGCATCATTTGCACTTGATGGTGACGTCGACCTAACAAACTCACAAAGGGTGACATTTCACCAGCGACGAGAGCTGCAGACTGCAGCACTTTCAAAGCAATATGTTGCGTTGCTGTCTTCCTCCTCGCATTAAAGTCAGATGAACACGGTCTGTTAACAAGTTCATCTGCACCTGGAGGAACTCTGTGCCTGAGCGCGCACACACACACAGACACACACTCTGTCAGATAAGCTCAGTGAGGCCTTTTGCAGGCGCTCCTCAGCTCTGGCCATGTACGGTGCTCTAAACGGCCCAAATTTGGACAAGGATTCCAGCCAGAAAGTCGTGTGCCCCGAACGTGAGGCTGCTGTGTGTTCATGTGTATCTAGCAACCCTAGGGGAGAGAGCGAGACAGTCCAGGCACAGTGTTCTAGTGATGATGGGGGGGGAGGGCAACATTTTGGTTTTGATATCTCTAAATGGTGTTACCTGTTGATCATTTTGGGACAGCTATTTGAGAATACAGATTGTTTTCCTCTTGAAAACTCTAGACCAGGTGTAGATCTGTGTGGGTCTAATACAAATAAAACACTGATCTTACAAAAAGGTACATTTGTCTACACTGAAACAGCCGAGTGCTGATTAAATGCACAACAGAAACACAAAGTACGCCCGCCCCCGGTGCAAATTCTGTTTCATAATGTCGGTAAAATCACAACATCTCCCACTTCATTCGTCAGAGAATCTTAAAATAGATCCCTCCCACTTGCAGCTGCTATTTATTTCTGTGGGCATCATTGTGTCATCAGTCATATACGGTGTGGTTTGCTGCACAGAAGGCTTTCAGAAAATGGTTTAACGACATTGATGGTGTGAAGAACATTAGACATGGTGCATGCTAAGCGCCCACTTCTGTTGTCTTCTGATCCCATTCGGTGACACTTTGGCATGACATGTTTGTGGGTGGTCTGCTAGCTTTCAATCCAGTGTGTTGACTTCCTTTTGAATGTCCGATGTTATTTACATTAAGGGAAATCTGAGATCTGTAGCTTGTCCCCAGCACCAGCGACTGGCCGAGCCAAACTCTGGGGGCAAGATGTCAAATAAAGTCTTTTTTGACTTTTGCACACCCACAGATGTGGATTAACTTAAGTGCTTCATCAGCTACTCGGTGTAAAGAGAAGGGAAGCCAGACGTGTTTGTGGTTATTTCAGACGTTTTTTTGATTTATCACACGTAAGAAACTATTCGGCTAATCTGCAAAGCTCAGCGCTAAACTAAAAGCAGTCTTTGAAAGTGTTTTTAAAATTTTAATCGCTTACTTTTTTGCACAAGTGTACACTGCACCTCAACGGCTCCATCAGCAGTACTACGTTATGTGGTATTTCAAGCACCCCTGCTATGTGCAGGCATTTTTGGGAACGCTCCGGCTGCCAAAAATTCATGCATTTACACACACCCACACACACACACACACACACACACACACACACACACACAGGGCAAATCACGCTCCTTGCTGCTTGCATTGGCCTTACTCCTCTCCTCTCTATTTCCTTCTCTCAGGCATGCATAGACGACAATGTTGACATGGTGACTTTCCTGGTGGAGCACGGAGCCGGCATCAACCAGCCGGACAATGAGGGCTGGATCCCCCTACACGCTGCAGCCTCCTGTGGATACCTGGACATAGCGGAGTGAGTATTGAGAGGTTTAACAACCCAGTTCAATCCGTTTCTAAGAAGCAGCAGCAGTATCTGTTTCATCAGGTTTCTGCAAACTCATCCTTACATCCTGTTTTGTATCTTGTTTATCAGTTCAGACTGTGAAAGTAACTGAGGGGTATGGTTCATCTGGTACCATACACGGTCATGTGGTTTGTCAAGCACAAAGTGACACGAGGGCTGAACATGTGGAGGCTCCATCTGAGGTCTGCGCTGTCCGGTCACCTCTCTGAGCCCCCCATTAGTGACCTCTGTCTGTATATTGGTGCTGGCAAGAGTGATTGTCTACTCAGTCCGGCCTCACGCAGCGCTATAATCCTACATTTGTGACCGGAGCAGCGGCTCATTTGGAGGCTCAGACGCGCTTTGTTAGAGTTATGTAATCAAAAATGGAGACATCGGGCCACCGTATCTGGGACGGAGCTCTATAGAGTTGCACTGTAGTATTTTCTTGCCCCCGGTAAGACGGCTGCTCGTAGGGCACCGAACACAACACACAGATGTTATCAGAGGATCTTTGAACAGGCTGAAGGAGCTCCGTCGTACTCATTGTTCAGCATGTTGGGAGTGTGCTGTGACCTGCTTTACTTCTGTGTTACATTACAGGAACCGGGAAACGTAACGAGTGCAACTGGATGTAAGAAGATAAACTTTACAGTAGTAAAGCAAGTAGTTTCTGCATGGTGTTTATGTTGTAGTGTAACAGATGTTTTGAGCAATAATGCAAAGAAATGATGTTTTAGCCTTTAGATTTTAGTGTTAACTTCTCAAACCCTGCAAGTTTGTGTGCAGCAGGCGTCTTGAACACAGCACAACACTGGGCTAGTATTACAGAAAACAAGACGTTTCTTGTTGTCGCATAATGAATGAAAAGGTCAAGTGGTCGGCCTGATACGGGTGACTAATGGAGAAATCATGTCATAGAGTGAAAGCTCAGCAACGAGATGTGGGTGGTGAGCACCCAGCAGCTCCCAGCATCCTCGTTCACAGTAACGGGAACTCCGGAGCGGGACTCTTAAGCCCTCGCTGTCACCACAGCCATCTAATGCTAGGGTTGGTTAAGAATCCCACAGTGGGGCTACACATCACAGAGCCATCAATCCAAGTAGAGTTCACCCAAAATAGGCAGAATAGAAAGTCCAATCAAGGAGACGTAAAGTTAAGTCATAAGCACTGAGCCCGTTTCAAGTGGTGTGTTGGTCAAATGACAAGGGCCTGAGTCTCACCGCAGCTTTAACTAGAAGCAGCTGAAGTCCAGATGTTGAAGTCTTGAATCTCTGCTGGGGGCAGACAAAGATATAAAGGGTTAAATCACAGTGTTAAATGTGTGTTTTGGTTGTCTGCTGTTATTTAAAGGGTTTTATGGTTCAACTCCTGGTCTGTGAATGGCCACGCAGACACGGACTTTGGAGATGACCTAGTTAAGGGGTCGGCAACCTTTTCTATCCAAAGAGCCATTTTCCACCAAATAAAATGCGTCTGGAGCCGCAAAAGCTATTTGATATCACAGCTTATAAAGTTGTATATATAGTTATATTATATATACAAAAACTATAGTTTGTTGTATTTATGAAAATATAGACCAAGAATAAAGACAATTCTTGACATTGTTTTTGCAATTTTACCTGATATAACAATATCAAACTCTTATGAAGAGGAGAATTCGCTCTTTGTCGCTCATCTCCAGCGTGACACTTTTCAGCACATGCTGTGTGCTTGTTCTGGAAGCATACAGGTAAGTCAGCATCGTTGGCAGTGAAAGCAAATATAGACGTCCACGCAGAGTTAAACTCTATTTTCCTCCGTGACTTTTCTTTTTTTGAATTTATCCATTGATAGTTTACCGAGGGCGTGGGTCTGAAAATCATGATTAGCCACCTGCAGGGAAAAGCACTTGACGGGGGTAGAGGATTTAACTGCCTGTGGGAATAATTAACATATTCTGTTCATTCTTGCTTATAAATTATATTCTCTCTGAACGTCATGTGAGAGAACTTCTTCGATTAGTGCAATTTCCCTGCTCTTCTTTCTATTTCCTCATCTCAGCCCCGTGTGTCACGGTGTGTGTAAACCTCGCTCGAGTCAGGAAACTTGTCAGAATACTCATGTTTGATTGGCTGAGCTGCATCACGTGATGTGATTTGCAATGCATTGGTCGGTGTGTTTCCTGCACCGCCGAACAAGTGCCGTAACGGCTGAATAAGACGCGCCGGTTAAAATTTAAACTCAGTGCCCAATATGTATAATTCCAAATTAATTATCTATCGGTTTTTAGTTCCTGGGTCCGGATCCGGTGCGCCAGTTGGGGACCTCAGGGAGCCCCTGACCTAGTTGATGCTCCATTCCTCGGTAGCAAATGAATGCTTCGATTGCATCTGTAGCTTTGTACTTCAAGACAAAGTGGAGAGTAGTAAACATCCATGGCACACACCGGTCTGCATTTGTGCCACTCACGTGCCCTCCTTTTTTAAAAAAAATTTTATTTATTTTTTTTTTTTTGAGCTCCTGTCCTTCAAATGTTTCCTCAGCAGTTGAAGGAAGTGACGGTTGTCTCTACCTCCTCCTTTCCCTTGGTTCAAAACCTAAAACATGTTTGTGTTGTTGTTGTTGTTGCAGGTATCTCATCAGCCAGGGTGCCAGTGTAGGAGTTGTGAACAGTGAAGGAGAGACACCTCTGGACATCGCTGAAGAGGAGGCGATGGAGGAGCTCCTTCAGAATGAGATCAACAGACAAGGTACCGTATTAAAGACGTCATCGACCCTAAACCTCCGGGTCGTCCTTCCCTCCCAGCGCAGAAATGCTTCCATGAAAAACTATGTAAATGGCAGCATACATAGCTGGTCGGGGCCCGATGTGTGTTTCATGCACGTACGAGTATGTTGTCAAATAGAATCTGAGTTCTCACCTGCTGCTATTCATCATTTCCCCCCCCCCGCCCCCCACTTGCTTGCTTGAATACAACTTACATAATCTAGAACAAGTGGCCCAGCCGTGTTTTCAGCACTCATGTGATGATTCGAAACTGAGAAGTCTTTTCTATTTTGTGCCGGGGGGCATTCTTGAGACGATGAAAGGCCCTCCCCTACGGTGAGGGGCCACGCTCAGACGTGTAAACTGGCCCCGGGCCAGAGGGGTGCTCCTCTGCTCACTAATAAAGGTCGGCTGGCTTATTACCCTTCTCTGTGGCACCATCTTAAAGCAATCTTTACGTTCTCTCTCTTTTACCACAGCATGCTGTATTTTATAACCTCGGCCCTCGATAGTTTACAGTAAGGTGTTAAATGCAGTGTCTAAACCAGTCCTGTAAGCCCTATTTAGTAGTATATGATAGGCTTGTACTGTGGGTCAGAAGATGCACAGTCTCCATGTAATACTCCATTATATTCACACTGTTTTAAGAGTATTGTGCATCAGTGTTTGCTGTGTAGTATCTCCGGAAACCTTTGAGGAACATGCTTTCTGTGAGCGGTGAGTCCCAGTGTTTTCAAAGCACATGGCACCGGCGCTGCTTTGCATGTTGCGCTCCTCCTCCCTTGTTACATCACGACGGCTAGACGTGCACCCAGCCCAACTTCGAGCATCGCGGCTGACGGCTTTAATTTGCCAGAACAGAGGAGCTGCCCGGTTCTGGAGCGTCCGCACGCTCCCTCCTCTTCAGATCCAGCAGTAATGGGTGCAAAAAAACAAATGTTCATAGACTTCTAATGTGTGCTTGTTGCTTATTTAACTGCTTTTGTGATTTAAAAAAAAAAAACACTGAAGAGTGTATTTGCACTGCTCCTCCTAACCTCGGGGCAGCTGCAGACAATCCACAGCTCAGTTCTCTCTGTGCGAGAGGTAGCAGGCGGCATTATGCAACTAGCTGTTGTGTAACGCTTCTGTATGATTGCAATGTGATTTTCTCCTCTCAAAGAGATACCAGTCATGAGGTTAAACTTGTTAGCGAGTGGCCCCCTTGGCAGAGACAACCTCTCGATCCCCGATTAGGTGAAGTAGTTTCCTCTTAGCGCAGAATAAAACAATTTGTTTATTTCTAAAAAGCCAGTATCTCTTTCTATATTTCTGTAGAGATTGCATTATTTTACTGTAGGTTTATTGTCGGTAAGGTGAAGGAAGAGGCAAGTCCTTTTTTGGTCTGTTGGATTTTCTCTTTGATGTGCTGTTCTCCTTATAAAAACTCAACTTTGAACGGCTGCCAACGCTTCCACTCTTCTTGTTCTGTAGTTCTACTTGGAGGCCGTTAGGCTCCTGCTTTTTATAGACCCAGTGTGGGCTACTTCCCAAGAGATCACGGGGACGCTGGCCTACCTGGCCAGCTCCCATTGCCTGCTCTGAGGAAGTCTGGGTTCAGCTTCCTCCGTAGCATGTATGCACTGCGTTTTCATTTGTTGTTAAAGTGTCTTAAATGTTTGCGATGAGACTTTTAACCCAGTCAAACATGAACTCGGACACGGAGTCATCTTCTTGGACTTCAGCCCACCAATGAGCACGTCCGGTTTCAAACGAGCCAGAATATTACGCTTCCAGAGCTCAATTCAAGCCTGTGTTGGAAAGTGGATTCTACTGATATTTAAGACTTGTAGGTGAAATCCTGAGAGCAAAAGCTTTCATAGCGGGTGTCTTAGTGACTGTTTGGGAACCAAGCGTCCTCTTCTTGCTGAACAGATTTCTGCTCCTCTCCAGCTGAAGTTCTCCTCTGCTTGCACTTTTTATTTAAGCCAAACGTGCAGCAGACACAGATGTCCTCTTTCATTGGTTCAAAAAGCTCGAGGCAATCTTGAAGCTTCCTAGAGTGTCGAGGAAATAAGCGATGATGCATCCTTGTGGGGGGGGTAGAACAAAAACCCATAAGATCAGCTGAAGTCTTGGCTTGTCTGTGGATCACTGTTTATGTAGCTCCACACAGTTAACACTCAGCTGACGAGTCAGCGACTCATGCAGCGGTGCGTTTCAGGCCCGTCTCGTGTTCCAGCCAGGTGTCAACAAGACAATACAGGCCTGTTTGCTCTGCATGCAGCTTACAGCGCAGACATATTGACCCACTTCACTGGATGAGGCCTGTGTTTTTGCAGACGTTATAGGAAAATTGACAGAAGTTTGGCACAAGATTTTTATTTTTATTTTTTTGCTGAGTGCTCTACAACACCCTCTAGTGTTTCTAGGATAATGTCGCGTCTTCAACGTCAATAAAAGCACAAAGGTTCATGGGTTCCCTGTTCTCTCTACTGTAATCCATAGTCTCATATTAATGTAATGTATTCCAAACACCATTGTCTTAATAAGACATTATTAATACCTCAATGTGCTTGTTGATTGTCTGGGTCCAGTGTGCTCCCTCAGTAGCAGGTAATCCCTCGATGCCCCTCTGACGGTTCCTTCCTCCTCCGTCTCTCACCAGGGGTGGACATCGAGGCGGCCCGGAAAGAGGAGGAGCGGGTCATGCTGAGGGACGCCCGGCAGTGGCTCAACAGCGGCCAGATCCAAGACAGCCGGCACACCAAGTCCGGAGGAACGGCGCTCCACGTAGCTGCTGCGAAGGGATACGTCGAGGTTTTAAAGTAAGCGTGATGGCTCATTGTGTGCTTGTTGTTGCATAAAGCCTTTACTGTTTGTTGCATTGTATAAATACTATTTACAGGCCTAGCATCGCGTGTTTTCTTTGCTAACGCCAAACATATCTTGGTCTCTGCTTCTTGTCGATGCGATCTTCTGGCATCCTCTCTGTGGGCTGCTCACACAGCCACCTGTTCCTCTGGTCTGGGGAGGCCAGCCAGCAAACTCTACTGCCATAGATAGCTCTAAGATCTCTGATGTTTAGCGCCGCTACAGTGTACAAGACGGGGATCTAAACGTTTCCCCCATCACGACAGATTTATGGGCTGAAATATTAGAGTTCTCAAATTTGCCAAAATCATTCTGCTCTCGCTGAGCAATGACTAAGATTTTCAGATTGTGTGTCCATGTGTTTAGAGGGTGGACTCTGCATATCATAAATCTGATCTGAGGTTACAAATTGGACGCACTTCTTAAAGCCTGGACGCTGTCAGCGCCTTGACAGAAGACAAGACTTGTAAATTCTAACACCTTTTTGTTCCCTCTCTCTTTCTCTTCCACTCCGTCGTTTCTCAGGCTTTTAATCCAAACAGGGTATGATGTAAATATTAAGGACTACGATGGCTGGACTCCTCTACATGCGTCGGCACACTGGGGCAAAGAGGAGGCCTGTAGGATACTGGTGGAGAATCTATGTGACATGGATCTCATCAATAAAATGGTGAGGAACTGTCATGAGTCCTGTCATTGAGTGCTGTGCAGTCTATATTTTAGATAACTTTTGTTTTATTTCTTTCCCTCAGGGCCAGACAGCTTTTGACGTAGCAGACGAAGATGTTCTTGGATACTTAGAAGAACTACAAAAGAAACAGAATCTGGTACGTAAATGTGACCGGTGACTTCTATCTGGACACAACAATGCTGTCATGTTGTTTTAACAGTGGATAAAGTTCTGTGAACATGTTTTTGGAAGGAGATTCACACATTTTCACTCAGATTCATTCGCCTTGCTGCGTTTTCCTCTGTTAGAATTGCTTTGTTCTCTTTATTCCAGCTGATAGGCGACAAGAAAGACGTTAAGAAATCTCCTTTGATTGAAACGACAACCACCGGGGACAACAACCAATCACTGAAGCCGCTCAAGAGGTAAATAGTTTGATGGTGGAGAAATAATCAACGGAAATGGCCCACTAAATGAGTGTTATGATTATTAAGGCACAGGCATAAGTGAAAGTTTCGATATTTTATATTGTATCTGTGACTTTGACTTGTGTTTTCTCTTGCTGTTCCAGAAATACTGCACCACACTGATGCTGTGGTTCTGTACTGATGGTGTTTAAATGTGTGTGTGTGTGTGTGTGTTGCAGCAAAGAAACGGTGCTTCTGGAGCCAGAGAAGATCGCCCCACGCATCGAGACCTCGGAACCGGAGAAGGTGGATGAAGGAGAGGAGGGGAAGAAGGACGAATCGAGCTGCTCCAGTGAGGAAGAGGACGACGAGGATTCAGAGTCGGAGACGGAAGCAGGTACTGTGTGTGTGTGTGTGTGTGTGTGTGTGTGTGTGTGAGAGAGAGTGTGTGTGTGTGTGTGAGTGAGTGAGTGAGATTAATTTTAGACTGCAGTAAATCCGGTCTGAAGACTGAGCATTTCCCATAATTCTCACGGAGCATGTTTTCATTAGAACATGTCTCATTTTCTTTTCTTTCTGATCCCTCCAGACAAGAGCAAGCCGTCAGCGTCGGTGAGCAACAGCACGACGCCCGCCCCGACCGGCATCACCGTGTCGCCTCCAACCAGCCCAACCAACCAGGTGACAACCCCCACTTCACCGGTAAATAAGGTGCGACCTGGTGGACGAGTGTTCAGCATCCCACCCTGCGCAGACAGCTGTCGCAGTACTGCCATTAAAACAAAAGACAGACGGATCTCACTCAAAGTAGCAGCTGATTGGTTTTAAAAATGAATTTAAATGCCGTGATGTAACCACGTCACTGTTCTCCCCTCAAACCCCTTCAAGTAGTGCCTCAGCTTTGCTCTTCTGAGACATGTGGCTGCCTCATTCTGTACACAGATCAGTGAAATTCACCATCTATTTAGTTTTCCTCCCCCTTGAACACAAACCTAATTTCACAGTCGGCTGACGTTTCTGTGAATGAGTTTGCAGTTCAGACTCCAGCCCATCACAGAAATAGTTCCCCGCTTGTGATTTGCTCTCGGTGTTGCAGTACAATGAGCACACACGGCTAACAAATGTCACGGAGGCCCCGAGAATGACATTTACGACAAATTGACGGTGGCGTTCAACAAACGTGGCACCGGGCTGCATGAATGGTGTCAACAGTTTACTATAAGACTGTTGGGAAACTAGGAGGCCGGAGTGGAGTCAGAGGGTTTGTTAGGAATAGAACAAGGGCTCGCATGACGGTGTTCTCCCACTCTTGAGTCTGCTGCCCTCTGCTGGCAGAATGAGGCCAAGCAGTGAACCTGGTGACTTCTTCCAAGGGATTGTCTGCTTCATAAGTCCACATGTTTAAACAAATACTTAATGTGACATAATGTTTATTGATAATAACAATATGCTTTATTTGCATAGCATAAAATGCAGCTCAAAGTGCTTCACAAGAGAAACAAATCAATAAAACATGTATTTAATAACGGGGACACAAGGCGCAAAAGCAATAAAATCCCAAAAAAATAGGATAATACTAAGTTTGTTTATTTATTTATTTTTTTTATACGATCAACAGAAGTTGCTTGTCTTATTTGTCATGAGAGTTTGTTCTAAACTCAAACAGAGGGCTACTTTTAAGTATTTTGTGTGGCCAGTTAACATTTGGAACTAAAAGCTAAACCCTGAATAGAAGCCCTGACAGTCAGTGAAGAGGAGGGTTCCTTTACAGCCTTCGCTCTCTCTGAACCGGCACCGTTTAGTCAACGTCCTGCGATCAATGGCCGCCTCTCCAAGACTCTCTAAATGTTGTTTCTTTTTTTTCTGCTTCTATTCGATCTCCTTGTTTCCAGTCCTGCTTTGAAGCCTCGTGCTCACACATCACAATGTCTTCTTGTCTAACAAGAGTGAGAATAAACATTAACAACATCCAGGTTTTGACACTACCAAATGTCACTTATTCCAACTGGTTTGGCAGTAAGCATTGTGTGGTGTGACTACGCCTTTAAAACAAAAAGATCTGTCCTTGCTGTAAAGTTTGTTTCTTTTGCTGCTGCTTCTGTCTTATTCTGGCTTTTTCTCTGTGTCGACCTCCTCCCTGCCCTCCCCTTCTCTCTGCGTCTTTCCTCACCCCTGGGCTCTTGTCTCGGTCGGCTTTAGTTTGATTGTGTTACTCCCCTCATGCCTGTGGCGGAGCCAGGCTGTCCTGCATTGTGGCGTCAAGGCTTGCGCAAAACTGGCATTTCTCTAGCGCCCAAAAAACCTATGGTGAGGCATTGGTGTGCACCAGAGTTGTTCTCTCATCCCACATGCACCTGTGCACTGACTCTAACCGCCCCGGTGATGCTGACTTTCACTCCTCAACCCCACATGGTGTTGTTTTCACACAAAAAAGGACTGTCCTGGTTGTGCTTTCACAGTGTGTCTGTGTTTTGTTTACTGTGTGCATCGATTCTTAAAGAAATTATAATTTGTCACCAGAACTGAAAACTATCAAAATCAAAATCCCAAGGGTTTTAGTTGCGCTACATAATTATCATATTTTGAGAATTGCACTTACTCTGAAATAACTTTTAGTCCGGTAGTCGTGGATGTGATCTCCTAACTGGCATGTCCTCTTAATGGTCTCCTCTTTGCAGCCCCTGGAGATTAATCCAAACCGTTTCTCACCTGGTTGACTTTTGTGTTACTCACCAACGTGACTAACATAACATCTTCGCACTACTTTTAGCGGTTACTTTGCACACTAAAACCGCCGTCGCTTCCTCCCTCTCAGCCCACTCAGCCTGCTGGAAAGGTCTCGACTAAAGTGGAGGAGGAGAGGAAGGACGAGTCTCCGGCGTCGTGGCGGCTGGGTTTGAGGAAGACGGGCAGCTACGGGGCGCTGGCCGAGATCACCGCCACCAAGGAGGCTCAGCGGGAGAAGGACACGACCGGGGTGATGCGCTCGGCCTCGAGCCCTCGCCTCTCCTCCTCTCTGGACAACAAAGAGAAAGAGAAGGTCAACTATTGTATAGAATATAAAATGTCTTCTAGCCATAATGAGCTTCTTTTCTTCCCATATGTGTATGTATTTGAAAAGGAATAAATCCTCCATCCTAGATCCTTTTTAATGATAAAACAAATCTTCCATAACGTAGATCCTTTTTGTTTTTTTGTCCCCTGTCTGCAGGAAAAGGATAAAGGAACTCGTCTCGCCTACGTGGCCCCGACCATCCCCAGGAGACTCGCCAGTACTTCAGACATTGACGAGAAGGAGAACAGGTGAAACTGTGGCTCTGTGCAAACATGCATTGGCACGAGCGCCCCCTGCTGTCCACTGCTATGTGTTGCAGGCAATAGGCCTCTGCGGCCCTAAAAAGTGTCTTTAGTTAGGTTGTTACGTTGGGCAGCGGTGGATTTGTACACATCTCCAGTATCTGTTTCAGTATCTGTTTGGAAAGCCTGAGGTTCTATTGTAGCTTGTGCTTCCCCAGGGACTCCACTGCTCTGATACGCAGCGGCTCGTACACCCGGCGGCGCTGGGACGACGACCTGAAGAACAGCGAAGGAAGCGCCTCCACCAACCGAACCCCCAGCTACCAGCGCAGGTTAGCCTCCGCTGCGATACAAAAGTCCGGCAAACCTCCACCCCTCATCTCATCGTCAGATCGCTGCTCCGTCTGATATGTTTACATCCGCTGTGAGGTTGAACTAAAGCCACTGCGTAGACAGCATTGATAGTTGTTTATCAATCATCCGCTGTACATTTGGCTCGGTTTATGTCACCAGAGATGTGTACGTACATGCTTCCATGCACAGCTGAGAAGGCTTTTCTCCGTCACTGCCACAGTCTGTTGCATGACTGTACCTGTCCTGTCAGGTTGATGTGCCACTGAGTTTGCAATGCATTACTCATTGCATTTTAACGAGCCTGTACACCTGTCTGACTCCCACATCAATCAAATTCATACAGTTGTTTGTGGCACAAAACTTAGACATGGACTTATGATGCATTCAAATCATGTGGGAAAAACATTTCATCCATATTAATTAATTTTGTATCTCTTTAAATTACCAGTGACCTGTGTGTTAACTGAACAAGGTGTTTGCAATCAAAAAATCAATACAAAAACCTTAATTTATGGCTTCTCCAAACACCATTTAATTCATGAAAACTTCTCTGTTGCTTTGATCCCCATATGACATGAATGCACCAACAGTTTGTCAAAGCTTGATAGTCTTAAAATGTGTGCGTTTCTTGTACTGTGTGTGTGTGTGTGTGTGTGTGTGTGTGTGTGTGTGTGTGTGTGTGTGTGTGTGCGCGCGCGTGTGTATGTGCGTGCGCCTCCACCGCTAACGTGCCCTCTCTTCGCCCACCCGCCTGTCAACACGGCAGCACGTCCCACACGCTAGCACTAGGGCGGAGCGGCAGCACGCGGGACGTGCCAGCCAAGTCTTCGTCCACCTCCAGCTTGGACCCTAACACCTGTAACACTAAACCCTGGCAGCCACCCACCTCCCACTACCAGTCTTACAGCATTTACCGCAGGTACACCAGCCTCGCCCGGGGCCCCGCCCTCTCTACACCCGTCTGTCCTCTCTGACTGTGTGTCCCTGCTCCGCTGGAGGGCCCACCATGTGGACCGTGTTGCATTCAATGTCCAAATGATTATCGGGAAAGAGATGGTTGTTTTGACTTTAAGAACCTTCTTTTTCTCTTATGCAGTCACAATCTAGATGTCAATAAGGGTGCTGATATCTAATTCATCCACTAATTATCTCGGTTAATAAAAAGAGCATCTTGAGTAAATGATTGCGATCAACATGGCTGTCATTTGTATCATCACTCTGGCTTTCTGCTGACTGCATGTGTTTTTACATCTGGACATTTTGTCCTCCAGCGGCTCTTTTGGCAGAAGACACGAGGACCTGAGTTCCTCGACCACCTCCTCCACGACGACCACCTCCTCATCTGTTACCTCGCCCACTGGCCATCGCGGCCTGCTCTCCAGCCTGGGCTCCTCCACCCGCCCTGGCTCCACCAGTCTCACCAGCAGGTACACGAACAGCACCGCCATCAGCCAGACCTGGAAGGAGGAGATACCGTTCTTTCTAAAAATGCTTGTGTGTGCAAACAGGTACTGGTCAGAGGAGAGTGCAGAGAGAGAAAAGGACAAGGAGAAGGAGTCTGCTGCAGTCATCCCCACGATGAACACCGGCTCCACTACGACCAGCACATCGACCACTACCACCAGCGCCATATCTACCACCACCACCACCACGGGCATCGTCACTGGCTCTGAGAGACGCCGGTAACACAAACGCACTAGTCCTGTAGCATCATGTTGTTGTTCTTGTTGTTGTTCTGTGTCTTGCGAGTGAGTGAGTGAGTGAGTGATGTTGAACTCTGTACACACAGTGGGGAGGAGAGGAGAGAGTTTGCATGAGTGGGGTGGAGTGCGATACTGTAGCCAAAGACGTTTGTATCCTCTTTCACCACAGTGACCTCAAGTTTGTAAATGGTTATAAAGCTTTATCTTAGGAAGCTCAAACATTTCATCACAGGAAATCCTCATCCGCAAACATTTCCTGATGTAGATAGCTGCTTCACGTTACACAAAATGTATTTTGTTGCCTAAAAGAAAGGTTAAAGTGACTGTTTTTGTCATTATGGTTCGGTGGCATACTACCATACACAACAATTACAATTGCCAGATGTATTGTGTTCATCCAGTTTGCCCATCTCAGCACTCATCTGATGCTAGAGTGTTTTTGCTCTTATTTCCAAAATGATTAACTGTGTGTGTGTGTGTGTGTGTGTGTGTGTGTGTGTGTGTGTGTGTGTGTGTGTGTGTGTGTGTGTGTGTGTGT